GGTACTCAAACTGCTATGTCCATCAGAAAATCTCTCTCCTAAGATGCAGACAGCAGTACCACTTTGGAAGATCATTGTGATGTTCCATAGACTCCCCCATTTTTGCCTCTTCATTTCAAACTGTGAGAACAGCCTTCATTTCTAGTGCTCTGATCAGTGGTCTGTCAATAGTCTTCTAAGCCCATCTGGACAAGCTGACACCTCCCCTTCAGTTAGTGATTTGCAGTGGTATATATACCTCAGAATTCTGTTCCCAGGGTAAACTCTTTCCGTGGCTCTCACAGTGATGAGAAGGTAACTGAAAAACTAACTTCCAGAGTAGTCAGGGGTGAATTGTTATGCAGTTGGACTTGGGATTTCTCTGTATCTTGGGGGTTTATCCATTATTTTTGCTCCTTAGTGATTCTGTGAATGGTTCAGTGCTATACCAGAGCTGTTTACTTAACAGTGTCAGAATTGTAGATTAATTTGCATGGTCAGCTGATATTATCAAGTTTACATCTTTTTCTGAAGAATTAAGAGGCAGTCAAAAACAGCAGAATATTTTTCCTCTTTCTTACTGTCGTTACATATTTGCTGGATGTGGACACATCAGCATAGGAGTATCCATAGAAGTAATATGTTATCATTGTAATGTATCAAGTTCAGATTCACTCCAGACCTTTGCCAGAAGTGAAGGAACTTCAGATCCAGGGCTTTGTTCAGTCTCCTTTCCTTTTCCTTTTCCCTTTATTTTCCCTTTCCTTTTCTCTTTCCATCTCCCTTTCAGCTTCCATTTCCCTTTCCCTTCTGCTTTTCCTTTTCCTTTCTCTCTCCCTTTCCCTTTCCCTCTCCATCTCCCTCTCCTTTCCCATTTCCCTTTCCTTTTCCTTTCCCCTTTCCCAAATGGGGTAGCATGTAAGTATTTGTTGTTAAAAGGAAAGAAAAACAAATTGACAATAATGGGAGATTGAAGTCTTCCTTAAAAGATCTGTATGGGGAATAATGGGTCAGCTCAGAAATCTGCTCTGGTAAATGAAATTGAATATGCAGTTCAGGAGTTGAGCCACACAGTGTCACCATTGGACTTCACTTTCTTCCACTCTGTGTCTTTCCCATTGTAGGTGAAGGTATTTACAAAGCCAGAGAAGAGGGGTCTGAAATGTGGGGGGCAGTTGAAGTGCAGGAAGATGAAGATACTCTTGTAGAAGTTCCACTGGACCAGGTATTGATTGAGCTTTAAATAAATGGCTTTTTATTTCTTTGTTAGGATTTCAGATCATGTTGTTTTTCTTTCCTCAATTTCTTTCAAGCGTGCAGCATAATTCTGTGGGGATGACTGTAAGCTCAACAATACAGCTTCTTTTATGGGAGCTTTAGCAAATCTTCCTTTCTGTGTTAATGTGTCAAATGTCAGTTACCTTTTCATCAGCTTCAGAACTGCTCTGAGAGCCCTTTTAGAGCCTTAGAGAATCAGGACTGCCTGCTGTTACAAACTACCAAACAGATTCACCTGGATTGCAGTCTCTTTATACTGATAGAACAGTATTCCTCCAGTCCTGAACCACAAATAGGAGTGGATTTATCTGATTTTTGTTAAAGCTGACAGCACTTTCTTCTGTTGGAGCAATATGGTGCTTAGTTGACCAACATTTTAATCCTAAAACTTATGTGCAGTAAATAGATCTTGATAACTAAACATAAGATTACATCCCCTTTGTTTTACTGAGTGCTGAGGAATGATTGCTAATGGATGACTGTAAACAAATGGGAGAAAGGTAAAGATAACTGTTTTAAATACACTTCAAATACCCAGGACAACCCAATGGAGCACAAACAATCCAGGAGATTACTGGAGTGTACTAGAGACAATGTTTTGGTGTAGGTAGTGAGAGACATGATTAGGAGAGGCATTCTGCTGGATATTCTACTCAGGAATAAATAAAAACTGGTTGTGCTTATGATAGTGGCAGCCTTGGTTGCACTGGCCATGAGATGATAGGGTTTGAAACCTTGAAGAAAGTGGAGATGGCAAAAAACAAAATAACAATCCTAGAATTCAGGCTTCATTGGGAAACTGACAGGCAGGATCCTCTGTGAGGCTGTCCTGAAGTGCAGAAGAATATAGGAGATCTGGTTGATTTCCAGGGGAATCTTCCTCAAAACCCAAGAACTATCCCCATTGTGCAGCATAACAAGCAGGCATAGCAGGAGGCCAGTTTGAACAGAGGACTCCTGACCTCCTACTAAGAGAGGTAGAAGAGGGGATGGACTGCTAAAGAGCAGTATAGAGACATTGCCTGGATAAGCAGGGATGGACTTGAGAGAGCTACATCTTGTCACAAAATGGAAACTGGTACATGTGACTGGGAATAACCAACACTATGGACAAATCATACTTTATTAGCCTCTTTGCCTCAGTGATGAAATAACTGGCTCTGTGGATGCAGGGAGAGGAGTTATTGTCCTTTGTCTTGTGTAGACTACTATATTTGTCAGAGTGATTTGAAGAAGTGTGGTAGATATGGGGAGGAAGATATCCTTAAGGAAGATAGGGAATGGATTTGTGGGATACAAGGAGGATGAAAAACTATCTGGTTTGGTGAGACTTAAAAGGTCAGCTGGTGGAGATTTAACTGGCACCTCTTTACAGGTGGTGGTCCTCAGGGTTTGATACTGGATCTGAGTCTTTTCAACATGTTAGTTGGTAACATAGATGATGACATGGGATACAGTCTTATCCAGGCCCAGTAGTTATTATCAGGTGGTATGCAGGGCTGCTTTTCAGAGCAATCTCAGGAGCTTGAAGGAATAGGCTGACTCAAGCCTTATGAAGCTCAACAAAGAGAAATATGAAGCTGGGCACCTAGAATGCAGTGACTGTGTGTCAGTACAGCCTTGACACAGGTAGGCTAGAGAGCAGCTGCAGAAAGGGCCATGCAGCTCCTGTAACTAGCAAGCTCAGTTGGCAGCACTCCTTGTGATGATGAGGTTGATTGTATAGGCTGGGCTAGTACAAACCACATCCAGCACATCAAGGTAACTGATTATCTTTCTTGACTTGCCATCCCTGAGGCTATATCTAGAATATTTGTTCACCTTTGGGTCCTTCTCAGCTGAAGAGAGATATTTACAAACAGGAGAAAGTTCAGCACAGCAACAAACTAAAAGGTTTACAGACCGAAGCTTGTGACACAAGGAGAAGCTTACAGAACTGGGTTTGTTTCACTGTAGAGCTAAAGAAGAGAAGACAGATCAAACTGCTTTCTGAATCTGCTGATGGAGTAACAGAGAAAACAGAGCCAGGCTTTTCTCTGTGTTGTGCAACTAAAGGATGGGGTCAAAAGTTACAGCAAGGAAAAAAATTCTAATTGGACATAAGTGTTTTTAACAGTGAGAACTGTAAGCACTTTCCTGTTCAGAGAGGGTGGGGAATCTTTGTCTTTGATGATATTCAAATTAAAACCAGGCAGTTTAGTTTTAATGTTGATAATTTATTTTTCTTTGACATTAGTGCAGCAGGGATTGGCCTAGATGATCTCTAGAGCAGTAGTCTTCGAAGTGGAGTGTGCATAGCCATGGGGTTATGCCAGTCACTCCATTGGGGTACAGAAAGAAAATTTATGAATAAATAAATAAATAAATATACATATATTTACCAGTAGAAACTGGTAGCAGTGGGCAACAAAACCTTTTGGAGACCACTACCGTAAAAGGCCTCTTTCAATGCAACTTTTCTGTGATTCTATATTTATCCATTTTTCATTATTTCATTCCTATAATCTACTGTTTTTGTAGTAAACTTCAGATTTTATTGTGCTTACTATTTACTTGGCTGATTTTTTTCAATTTATTTATATTAGGCAAAAGGATACTAGACATATATACATTTAGCTTGTGTTCTGCTTTTAAAAATACACCTGAGGGGAAAATAGATGTTTTATGACATTATTAGCCATTTTGAAGAATGATGCCATAACATTTAAAAAAAAATTAAAATGGATGTCTCCATTTAGTTTTCTAAGAAGGATCATTTTCATGCTTTCTTCACTTTAATGGGAAGGAGTATTTCTCAGCTATTTTATAGACATTGTTCTTTGAGACATGTGAATCAGGTGATACAAGAGCATGTCTCTCCTGGTCTCTGATATAAGAAAAGCTGCAGCTGTGTCTTTTTACAGCAAATACACGCCCCAGCCTCAGAGATTTATATGCTAAACACCATTGGGCTCACCAGCCCTTTTAATTGTAGTTGCCCTCATGAGGTGTTGTGATAATTAGGATGTGTTGCGTGGTACTGATAGTACTGACCTCGAGCAAGAACACGCCGGTTGTCTTAGTTTCTTATAATATCCTGAAGCATATCCTGCCCTGGTCTTGACAGTGTAATAATCAAATTGAGAAATGATTAGCCTGTTTATTGGCCTCTGAAGGTGCATGACGAATTCCTCTGGGTAGTGCAAAGCATTTGACAGTGTAAATTGGGCTGTCGGGTCTTAGTTTCTAGGTTGACTGCAATTAATATGAAATCCAACCCTGGAGACAGTTCCTTTACTTCTCCAGACATCCCCCAGCATAGACAATAGCTCTGCCCATTGTGCCATGTCTCATGAGTTTGCCTTAACCAGTGGATGGTGACCATCCCTAGGGAAGGGGGAATAGTTAACTCTCCAGTACCACTTGTGTTTGGCAGTGGAACTGCTGATACAGCTGCCAGTGAGCACATGTGCTAGGGAGCTTGCAATGCTAAGACCTTGCTCGGTCCTCTAAGCTCATGTGCCAAGGTCCATACATCATCCCCAGATGGAAATATTTTTCAGTTGCTTCCAACTGATTTTGCTACCTGGACAAGGAACTGGAAGCAGGTGTGTTTGAGGGGAAAAGTAGAAATCAGTCATGCACACTATGAATAATCTGAATTTTGGTGCTTCATTTGGCTTTTATGAAAATATTTTCACAAAATCCAAACAAAGCACCAAAATTTATATCAACTCAAGCCATGATTCATTTATAACATTAAAAATTCCTGTATAGTTTCCTAGGTAATCTGCCAAGAAGCCATGTCCTTTAGAATAGCATGGAGTACTGTTTATTCCCAGATAACTGAGGTCACTTAAACCTCGTAAGCATTTAGCATTTTACATGTTTAGGTTCTTATTAATGACCATTTTCAACTGTTTTAAATTCTGTGATGTAAAGCTTTATAGCTTTTTTTTATCTGAACTCCAGTTTATGTTATTGCTGGAATTATGGAAAAGGACAGCCAGACAGGGCTTGACTATCTTGCATAGTGCATAAATATTTACATGCCATCTTTCACTAAAATGCTGACACTTCTGATAGGCTATAATTTCCATCAGCCACATAAATGAGGTGGTGAAGATAGAGCTTAGTCTTTTTTTCTTTTTTATGCACCTTCTCTGTCTTGCTGTTTGAAGTACACAGTTGAACAAATGCCAGATTAGCCATTAACTAAACTTAGTGTAATACTGGCTAGACACTCACTTATGTCCTGCTCAGTAAAATGCTGTCTGCCAGCTGAAAACACATTAAAAGAACAGGATTTGCTTTACTCCTGACTAGCTGACAGTTGTAATTGAACATCAGGGAGGAAAAAGTCAGTATTTTGCCTTAAACCAATCCAGACCCTTCTGTTCTATATTCTGTGCCGAGACTTCAAAATGCAAAATGGATAGTTTCTTCTTTTGACATGCAGGCTTACTCCAGGTTGGTTGTTTACATCACTATGTCAACATTCATGGGAACTGATGACAGACTATGAAATCAATTGTGCAAATAGCAAGGGAACAAGGTGGATTTATTGCTGTTCTTCATAGGGAGACAGCAAAACAATACAAGTTTCTTATTCTAGATGGTAATTAAATGTGTTACCTTGAGTTTGCTGATGATAATGCAAATATATTCAAAGTAACTCTGAGGTAGAAAATTTTCTAACTTGTAAAGCTTTCAGAACAAATGACTTTATTTTTATCTACCATGTGAAATGCAAAAGCAGGAGTTAGTAGTAATAATATTGAAATAACACTTCAAGGTTGCATTGGTTTATCCATTTCTGTAAGCATGGCTGTTCTTTTTCCCATGCTGGGCCCTTCGGAGGTGGGGTAAGCATGAGAGTTATGAGATACGAAGTTATCCAGTGCATGACCCCTGTTAGGAATTCAGGCATGCTGTTGTGCCGGGGTGCTTTGCCATGGGGTATGTGAT